CCCCAATGGTACTCAATAAAGATCCCGGATGATAATCAAATGGATGAGAGCCACAAAACAGTAAAAGAAATTTATCTCAGAAAACCAGGGGGACTAAAGGGTAAGATCTTTAGGGTCCTCGATTATCTGAGCCAGAGATTGCAAGAATGAAGCTAGATTGGAACCGTATATGACACGATGATCTGCCGTAACATTTACCTGTAATTATTGCTTCGTCAAAATTCATTACTCAACAAGAAGTTACTCGCAAAGTCTAATGAAAAAAATCAAGACATCAAATACTAATAGTGGAAATAAACAAGAGATTAACCTGCATCTGACTTCTCATGCCAATCCGACCGTCCTTTGTAGCAACTACAGAGGGCTGAGATGCTCCAACAGCCATGATTGCACCCTGTACAAAAATAATTCCCATAGATCAGTTACATTTGCTCAATTTGGTCAAATGACAGGTAATCTAGTAGAGAGGATGAATTTAAATTTAATTGCAAACACTTACAGTTCCTGGTGGTAAAATGGCATCAAAGCGATCCACACCAAACATTCCAAGATTTGAAAGGGTAAAGGTACCTGGCATACAAAAAGCCTGCCATAATAAGCAAATGTTTAATCTGGTCGTATTCTAACTGTTGTAACAAACATGAATGGGTTACAATTGACCAGAAGGAAGCCCACACCACATCAGCTCACATGAAAGATCAAATAATTGCCTTTTAACAAAATTCTCTCCATTCACAATACTCAAGGCCTCTGCATGACATGGCCCCCTAACTGGATTTCTTGAGAACTAGTAACAGTATAAGGCTTTTATTTAAACCATCACGCAGAACTACACTACCTAGAAAAGCTTGCTGAGACTACCAAAAAAAAAAACAAGTTCAGTCTCCATCATTGGGGGTCTGGGAGAGGGTAGATTGAGAACCAACCTAAACTTCAAATTATGTGCACAAAATGGCCGACCTCAGTTTCAAACCCGCAACCTGAAGGTTTAATGGACTGAATTTTAACAAAGAACCTGGCCAGCAAGCCCAGCTGCTAAAAACTTGTAGCTGAGATTGTCCCATCAAAATTGCAGTAATCGAATATTTTCTTGGTCATGAACCAATATTTTACTAATCCATGAACATAATACAGTGCCTCATGTCCACACTGATTTTTCCCTTTCTTAGCAGGCCTCTAAACGGACTAGACAGTTCAGATTCATGAATGTGTCTTTGTCTGACTTACAGAGCTTATAGAGTACTGCTCTGCTATCTTTTTTGAAAATAAAAGATTCCAATATTTAAAGTTCTTCCTACCTCCAACAATATATGTACAAAAAACAATGGAAACTCCTGTCACTAGATTGAAGCTATTAGACTAAACTGTTCAATAGTCAGAACAACCACACTGACATGATCAAACCCTGCTGTTACTTGGATCTCTGGGGCCAGTGTCCAATTGATTCAAGAGAATACTCTCCAGACAAAACAATAAAACATGTGCCCATCATAGTTCACTCTCAAAACAATAAGATTGGCTCCCCCTTACACACACCAATTCTAACCAAAACAAAAGCTGGTAAGCATTCCTTTTCCATACAAACTGAGTCTTACTAAGAAAAGAAAAAAGGTGCTTGATGTTACCGTCCACAACTAAAAGTTGGTAATTAACCAAATGAGTAGAGTCTACGAAATTAGAAAACCAGATATCTTACCCTATCATACTACAACAAGCGAAATAGAATGCATATGGCTTTTTGGCTAAATTGGGGCGATCCGCAAACAAAAAGTCATCGAATTGACGATTTTTTATGCGAATTCGGCAGGTCAACCCCCCTTGCTACTTGTTCCCCCAGTGACACATCAACCACACCCTTTCTCTCTCTCTGATCATAAAGCCCCCTAATCCTTTGTCTTTTTCCTGTGAAACAAAGCCAAGACTTTTCTGCCCCCCATCCCACTAGCACTACAAATGGTAGGGGAAGTTGCACCACTAAAAGAAGTCAGAGAGGTAGCTAGACCAAGTCCATTACTGGATCATCCAACAGCAACCAGATTCGGCGTGATGAGGAATCCCAGAAAAGATCGATTGAGATCCCCCCACGGTCCCACGAAGATCTCTAATCATCCAGTCCAAGACAACTGAGATCTTCCGGTCTGGAGCAGCAAAATACAGGGCATACAAGATTTTCTTCATGTTCACCTGAGTGAAGTGGCTTTGATACTTTCTAGGATCCACAAGTGGATTATTTGCCTAAACATGTTCTCTCCTCAATGCAAAGTTACCTGAACAATAGCATTTTAGAAGTGTCAACTATTAAGAGATTATTCTTCAGGACCTTCAAGTGTTCAAATATCCCCTCGTTATCAATAAAGGAAAAGTTGGGGGACTCATGGTCTATAAAAGATGTTCACCTCACAAAGTCTGGACTAGGCTATTTATCTAATTTCTTCCTTTTTTGATATGCAGGCTTGGGCTTGCCTAAAATGGAAGGGAAGTCGAATTGGCACGCAAATAGGTATAAAATGGTGAAAAAACTAATAAATTTGAAGCCAGTTGCCATGTTTCTTTAATAAGTTAGTTAAAATAGTAATTATCTTGTTGTGCTTAGGGCTTAGATGGTTGAATCCAAACACACATATTCCTTTGCACAATAAGCATTAATGGATGTCCTAAAATTCAACCCCATCACCTCACAGAAGTCAACCCAAGCTTTTAGCACCACAACAACCAACCACTCTTCCAACCTTTTTAAATGGCAATATCGAGAAGGAGCTGGGGTTGAGTTGAACTATTTTGATTTGAATGCATAAAGAAAATTTTCAAGGATAAGCACTTGGAATCTTGGATAGGTAACCAAGCAAGAAGAGCTACCCATCTAACCCTAAACTTTACAGCAATGCATGGAAAATTTCTAGAAGTACAAGTGACTTCTATACGATTTCTTAACCACCACACTGCTTATTTTTATGGCAGTCAATTATCGCCAACTCCAAACTTCATGATTGTAAAATGTCTCCTAGAGAAGTAATGCTATATGAATTATTAATCCAACCATAGACTTGCACAGAATTCTAGATAAGGTTCGAGTTCTACAACAATGGAAATCTCAATCCTCTAATATGTAAAACGTTGGAGGTAATAATATATATATATATATATATATATAAAAAGAGAGAGCGGCACAATTATGGAGGCTATGCACTTCACTATAGCCTTTGGTGAGAACTTTTTACACAAACCGTTAGATTGTGATCTAATACCCATAAAAATTATGAGATTGATTTGTTTCTACTACAAATAAAACCCATAAAAAATCTAAAAAGAAAGTGTGGTACTAGGCTCTGGTTACGGTACCGAAAGATTATTTTTTGGTGCCGTAAATTCATTTTTCACCCAATAAAAACACAGCACAAGTAAATTTTTTATTTTTATTTTCTTTTATTTCTGTATTTTTTTTGGGTACGTTACTGTAGCCATATAAGTGGTTCTATCTTGCTAACTTGTGAAATGTATCTTTCGGTAAAAATATGTCTACTAAAATATATTCCAACTAGAAGAAATTGAGATAGAGAGAAGAGATTTAACTCCTTTTTTTTTAGGATTAAAAGATGGTTGGAATTGGACCATAATACAATTGGATATAGTAAAGCAAAGAGCTATAAAGGTTGATAAAACTAGTTCGGGACACTGAGTTGACCATCTGACAAAATCGAACTAGGGTGAAGAATCCTTTTGTTTATTTTAAAATATTTAATTATAAAAACAAATAGACTTTCCTAATATTATTAGGATTATATTAATATGCTATTCAAATTTCCTTTTTAGTCAAGAGTTAAACTTGGTAGCTTTTTACATTAAATTTTGGTCTTTTTAGATTGATAACCAAACGGTTCATGTAAAAACTTCCCACTAGAGGCTATAGTGCATAGTTTTCATATATATATATACTAGCAACAACCCTATGCCTGTTGACACTATGCAATATAAAAAATTAAATATTAATTTTGTAATCTTTTAAATAGTAATTTGGTTTTTTTAATTATGCAATTTAAAATTAAAATGAAGAGATAGGTGTAGATTAATGAGATTGTTTAGCATTAGAGTGTGTTGATGTATTGATTGACTTGTTTGACATTGGGAGCTATACATAGAATATGATGTTTTTGAGTGAAAAAAAATTTTATGATGAATTTTGTACCATTGGATCAAAGTAGAAAAAGATTGGATCAATCTTGACCGTTCGTGTGCTTTTTTATAAGTTGATAATTCAACTTGCTAGCTGTAATATTAAATGAATATATATACATAGGACCAATTGTTAGCTCTATTATCTCCAGTACCCAAATGAAATGGTGCAGGGTTTAAGTGCCCAATGGGACATGAGTGCTTGAGTACCACTTATCCAAATAACACAAATCTTAATTAGTTATAATACTATGCTTGAAAACCATTTCAAAAAATCTTTGAACATGTCTTTTCAGTTGGAGCTAAAGCAAATCCCTACTTATGCCCGATGCCAATAATCATGCATAGGATTACAGAACATTTCCAATGGGTATTTCCATCGTAAATTGTCTGTAACACCCACTTAGAATGAAATTAACAGTGGCAAAAACAAAAAAGAAGAAAAAGAAAAAGAATATGTATACAAGACTCTAGATCAACTCAAAGCTGAAAAAGAAGTAGGAGGAGGTTCATATATTGTCAAATATTGTCCACCTTAGGCTTCAGGTGTGGGTAACAGACAAAGCAAAATTAGATGCACCTCTGAGTTTTTTTCATAGGGACCTAGTAGATTTGACATTTCCATGATGCAACAAAAAGTAACTTAACTGAAACATTAGGTAGGCACGGTGTTTTCACCATGACCCAATAAATTGTGTTACCTTATTGATAGATCCCCAATGCTTTGGAAGTTCTGAAATTTTAACTCTCTTGGAATCCCAAATCATCCAACTCAAAGGCTGATTTACTTATCAAGAAAAGAGATCTAGCCTTACATGAACTGTTAATCCTTGTCCTTGCTTAAAGTTTTTCACTTAAGCTGGTCTTTTAATTCCACATTACAATTTCAGTTCCTTAAAATCAAAGTTACAAAAGCCAGCTGTACAATACCTAAGAAACACAATTGAGGGACTGCAGGAGCAGGATTACAGATGCAGTCAACACACAATGAGACTTAACACATTAGACATGTTTGTAGCAAGGATATATTAGGTACAGCATGATGAATTGTGGGGGAAAAGTTAATAGACAGGTAAGAATAACAAGCAACATTTATTAACCAATGCATATTGGGAAAAATAAACTGTATATGGAAATTATCGGACCTGGCAACTTTTTTCTCTTGGTATATGAGCTGGTTGTATATTCAATGAAACAAAATCACCCAACCTTGAGTTCCAATGTTCCCAAGAGAGCTCAAATAGCTAATGGCATTTAGAAATCCAGGAAATAGTGCTTTTCTTTCTCCACAATAGTTTGTTACTTTAATATCAGCCACTAACTCCCAATTATTACAAGCTGACGCCTAAACAACTAAAAACTGATAAAGATCTACTAGCAATAAGGAAAACAAATTGCCGCCATTTGAATTATTCAATGAAAAGCATAACTGAAGGGAACATGGAGAGCTCTACTTCAAAATGTTAGGAGTTGTGTAGGGAGCAATCACACGTACAACAAGATAACCAAGTACCTGTAGTATATTCATGAGGCTGCAGCTGCTTTGCTCGTGCCTTATCGACTAGCTCCTTCCACTTTCTTGACAATGTGTAGATATCAACCTAAAATAAATAGTGCACCAATCCGCCTTTTACTGTGACCATTCAAATCTAGTAATCCCACAAGGAAACTATAATAGCACTAACAAAATAAAAATTAACCTACCTTATCAGCATCTCGAAGAACTGGTGTAATCAGCCCACTGTCTATGGCCACTGCAACCGCAATGTTAATACTGCTATTATACATAAAGCTCTTACCATCTCTACAACTGGAATTCACAACAGGGTGTTTAACCAATGCAAGTGCCGTTGCCTTTGCTAGCAAAGCCGTCATAGTCACTCCCTTCGACTTAATCTAAAATGTAAACCGAAATACATGAGATATTGAAATACCAGTCCATCTCACTTATTTTTCATCCTGATATGGACTATTGAATACTTCAGGAATTCCTACTTATTTTCACATATTTCATAGATTTTGAAATGAATTCACAAACAAATCTACCTGCATTTTCAGCACATTCCAATCCTAAAACAAATTTAACCCAATTCAGCAAAATTATAGTCTAAGTTACATATCCCCATGGATAAGCTGCCTGAGTGAGCAAATTTTTATCCCAAATCCAAATAATTCTATCTATATCTTGAGCTCATAAACCATTCTTCCCATAAGGAATTTTTGAAGTTTGGCAAATAAATGATAGATAATTAATCCCACTTCAATTCAGGGTCCAATCAGAATTGAAACTTCCACAGATATTCAGAAAATCTCACAAACAAAGAATCATTCCTTAGTATTAAAACCTTTACCTTCTTGTATAGAGCATCCAGCGCATCGGTAGTAATAGTATACCCGACTCTAAAAGTGGGTACAGCCAAACTCTCCACCATATTCCTACTCACAGCACCCTGCATTGTTGTGAACGGCACAGCTGTCCCCAATTCAATACCGGAACCCGCCGGAGTTTTAGCCACCGATATCGAACCTCCACCAGGCTGGGGTGCCTCCGCCACAACAGCACTAGCAGTGGCGGCGGCAGCTTCAATATCCTTAGCCACAATCCTCCCCATTGGCCCACTACCCAATACTCCACTCAAATCCACCTTCAATTCCTTCGCCAATTTCTTCGCGTACGGCGACGCCACAATCCTTTTTCCACCGTCTGCCGCGGGATGTGAAGAAGAGACCATCACCTTAGACACAGTTTTCTCCACCACTTGCTGTCCCACCGAAGAAGAATCACCAGCGGTAACCTCCACCGGAGGTGAAGTCGGAGAAGAAGAAGGGTCGGAAGGAGAAGAACTTGTGGAGGCTTTGGACTTGGCTTGGGCGATTTCGTCTTCGGTTTCAGCTAAGAAGGCGATAGCGGAGCCCACAGGAGCGGAATTGCCATCTTCTACAATAATGGCAGCCAAGTAGCCATCGTAGAAAGTCTCGACGTCCATGTCGGCCTTATCGGACTCGACGACGACGACGGACTCGCCTTTGGCGAGCTTATCGCCCTCTGACTTGACCCACGAGACGATCTTGCCCTCTGTCATGGTGGAGCTCAGTGCTGGCATGAAGATCTCGCGGATCTTGGATTGGACTTGGGTTTTTTGTGTTGGGATGATCTGGGTTAGTGGACTAAGGGTGGTGGCATGACGGCGGAGGGAGGGGGAAGGGGTGGGGATGAAAGTGGTGTTGAGGAGGTGAGCCATTTGGTTGTGAGAGAGAGAGGGGATGAAGAAATAGGAAGGGGTGTGTGTGCTTTATGGGGGCTGTGTTGGGTTGTTTTGGTTTCTCGAATGCATCGAAAGAAGGCGGAGGTTTCAACCACCTTACCGGTGAAAATGGTGCTGCTGAGATGTACGTTGGGGTTGGCTGGCTGGCTTCTTAAAGTTCAATTTTGTTTTTACACCTTGCCCCCCTTTCTTTTGCTGTATTTCTGCTAATCCCACGGTTATGTTTGGTTTGGTACTTAAATGGTGTAATTAGTCTAAAATGTGTTGTTTCATAACCTAATTCACTACTTAAAATTTTAAAAAAATATGTAGTTTTTGTCGCACTCCGATCCCTAAATAAATATGATCTAACTAATAACCTTTGAAATCATGGGAACATAACTAAAAATATCATAAAATAAATCAATGGAACATTGCTCAACATCACCTACCTAAAAATTCTGAAATAAATATAAATCAATCACATCTCCAAAACTTTGAATAAAAATAAATATATCTCCAAAACTTTGAATAAAAATAAATATATTTCCCAAACTAGAAAACATTCATAAATATTAGGGAGAATTACATTTAGATTTTTTAAAGTTTGTCATTTAATCGCTCACACTCCTGATATTTGAAATATTACACACAGACTCTCTAAAATATATACGGACGTAAAACTTTTACCTTTATCGTATATTCATTACTAAATTATATCTAGATCCCTTAAAATTTGTAGGCGTGTAATATTTAGATCTCTCAAGTTTAAAATATTATACTTACACCAAAATACTCTAATCAAAGATAAAATATAAAGTACTTTAATTTTATAACTAAAATTCATGTTCTATTATGACATTTATTGATATAAAATCAAAAATAAATATTTAATTTTTGCTTAAAAAATTATAATTAGTATACTTTTACCCTTACCGTATATTCATTACTAAATTATATCTAGATCCCTTAAAATTTGTAGGCGTGTAATATTTAGACCTCCCAAGTTTAAAATATTATACTTAGACCAAAATACTCTAATCAAAGATAAAATATCAAGTACTTTAATTTTATAACCAAAACTCATGTTCTATTATGACATTTATTGATATAAAATCAAAAATAAATATTTAATTTTTGCTTAAAAAATTATAATTAGTATACAATTATACTTTTTATTGTAATAAAACTAAAAAATTAAATAAGGGGTTTAAATAAGGGGTTTAAGTCATTCATAATAGAAAATGAATTTTATAATCGAAATTCATGTTCTATTATCATTTATTGAAATAAAATCAAAAAAATAATATTTTTTCTTAAAAAATCATAATTAGTATATAATTATATTATCTATTTGAATAAAACTAAAAAATCAAACAAATGATCAATTGTAATAGACACAATATATTCTAACTTTAATTGAGATAATTTGATCGTTTAAACGACCAAATTAAATTCTAATAAATATTATAATTATATACTAATTATAGAAAAAATTAAATTTTTAATTTTAATTTTATTTGAATAAATATCATAATAGAACATAAATTTTTATTGTGAAATTTAAATATTTGATATTCTATCTTTTATTAATATATTTTTAGTTTAAATATAACATTTTAAACTTGAAAGGTCTAAGTATCACACGTTTACGAATTTTAAGGGTCTAGACATAATTTACTAACTAATGGAAATTGATGGCAGGGTCTTAAGGTGGTGTTTGGATCAAAGGATTAGGGCGGATTATAGGTGGAATTGGATTAAAATAGTGAATGGATCCACTTATCCTTGGTTGGTTGAACAATGTGGAATGAGCTTTTCGGTGGGATTCAAAAAATCATCGTTGTCTTGCAGAGTGGATAATTCTTCCCAGGTGGGATTATCTCAAGCCATGTGAATGGACGGATTCAAAATCTAGTGAAGGGGATACATTGTTAAATTACATGAACACCCTTAAACAATTTTTTTTTTTTGCAGAAGTATTTACAACAAGAGTAGAGATTCAATCTGCTGTTGGTGGTGGTTCTGATGATGGGTGGTGGGTGAGTAGGTGAAAGAGACACTGCGCATCAGAGGGTGAGACCCTCCAAGGCAATGGTTGGATGGAAGTCATATTTGTTTGAATCCAATGTAAAAACCAACAATTTTTCTAGGTACTTACAACAAATTATTTGATGTATGGAAGGGAATTAATTGAGGTTGGATTGAATTTCACTGGTCAAAAGGAATCTCAGACATATATAATGAAAACAGAGCCTCAGACGATTGTACTTACAATCTTCTCTGTTCTTGCCTCTCCCTTTTTGGTTTTGATTTCTCTGCTTTTCCTTGATGTGCTGAATAGAGAGGTTGGGACTCTCTCTTCTTCGGATCTCAGAATTTGATCTTCTTGATCAAAGGATTTGGGAAGACTTCATCTGTTTGTTGGAATTCCACTCTCTCGTTTCCCATCTGAATCACAGTTTTACCAAGGCTGAAAATTCGTGTTTTACCAAGCCACCTTTCACTCTACATTTTATACACAAGCCAACCCACCACCAGAACCACACATTTCACTCCAGTCCATCACTCTCTCAAAACAGCTTCCCACCACCATTTTTCTATTTTCTTTGTTGAAGAGTAGACTCACAAGAGTGAAGGGAGGGGAGAGAAGTTTTGGGTCTTTAGCAATGGCTGGGAATGGAGTTTTTGCGCACCCTCGAAATGGAGATGTGTTCAAGTTTTAGATGTTTCTCTCTCTCTATCTCTGTCTCAATGGTTTCTCTGTGCGTGATGTGAAGCCGAAGCATCTAGAACCCTCTCCAGTGTAATCCAAGGAAGATGAGCATTTTAACCAAATTAAAATCTAGTTTATACCCTAGTGATTTGGATTTTTTGCACCTGACCCCCATTATTTTGAAATTAACACATAACTCCCTTATTCTTTTTAACTGAATTGCTATCGTTACAAATTCTCTATCAATTGACAAAATGTAGCATGCAAGCACATGATTTGAGAGTAAGTATGTAAAAATATTCGATCTAAGTCAACTTTGAATGAAATAGTTTGGGTCTCATTAAAAAATCACAATTGTTATATGGTGTTGGGTCTGATTAAAACTTAAATTTTTAAGATCTTAAAAATTTTATACTTATCCATTGGTTTCCTTATATATGAACTCTTAATCAAATTAACATTTTAAGTATAGCAACATATTTTAAATTTACTTGATTTGTGCTATTAATTCAAACAATAATATTAAAATGCCCCAAAAATCATGGAAAATAAATTGCATTTGGGTCATTGAAAAAATTTAATAAAGTTCAGATTAATTATGTTGTTTATTGGAAAAAAAAATTAACTTTTATTTTTAAACACACAACTAAGGATTTTAAAGAAACAAACAAATAACGACTTATGCATGAGTTGTCTCGATTTGTATATTATTTTTCTGTTGAATTTTTTTTTTTTTGCATGATGCATATGATTTTTGTGATTAAAAGTGTATTGTACAAATTAAATTAAATAAATGAACAAAATATTTATTGCAATATTTTGTAAAAATGCATAATTTATTGATTTATATTTTTTTTTCGTAAATAAGACAATACTAATGGATTGAACTGTTTTTTCATTCCATTCCAAACATGGTATAGAATTGGATAACATTTTTTTACACAAGGATAAAATTGTCATTTTAGTATGTTTTATCTTCACATGTGAATGGGGGCCCACAAACCAAATGAAACATATCCAAACATGGGATAGTATTTGAATTCGAACTTTATAATCCTTCTAGGGATGTCAGTGGACCGAAACGGAGGCGGGGGTATAGTCTCCATCCCCGTACCCGCTTAAAAAACTTTCGTCCATCCCTGATAACGGGTATATTTTTCATTTTCATTCCCGTCCGCGGGAAATTTTTTAATCCCCGCCCCCGCTTCCTCCTTACCCGCCCAAACCCAAACCCAAACCCAAGCCAACGTAATCCAAAATTTTAAATAAATTCAACATTTAAAAATCCAACAACATTATCCAATAACTACTTGAGTTTGATATAATTCAAACAACAAATGAAGAAATATTGAAAATACAAACAACATAACACAATATACTTCATCAAATGTCCAAAATACTACGTAATGGGGAATGGGGAAACATTTGATATAATTGTCCAACAAAACACAACACATGTCTTAACAATTGTCCAAAATAACAAACAACAAATGTCACTACTTTAATGACATTTAGTTTCACACGGTCATGTAGCTTCACGCAGTCACTATTTTTCCATGCAGCTTCACACGTTCACACCTATAATTTAATAAAGAAAATAAAACATAAAAAACTATAATAATTGAATAAAAACTATTTTATATTTACCAATAAAATTGATTGGTTGAAATTAAAAAATTACCAACTCAATCATCTCTTAATACCATCGGTGGTGGTAAAATATACTTCTTCAATATCATTTTTCTACATCATTAAAAGAAAAAGAAATTAGATTCTTCCAAAGAGAAATTTTCAACTTAAACGATATACATCATCATCAATATCCAGATCCTCCAATAATGTGCAGCTTTTCAGGCCCTTCGAAGTAGATGAACCTAACAAAAAAAAATGCATTAATCATACTTTACCCCCCAAAAAAGTTATGATGCACATACAAATGATATTACATTACCTCGTTCTTCAGCACATAGCCAACTTTGAGAGCACATTAAAGCCTCTACTGTAATTTGAAGAAGTCTATTGCGATGTGGACTGATCATCTGTAACACCCCATATTTTATTTTATATATGTATATAGATATATAGTAAATAATTGTGATAAAAAAAATGTGGATATATGTAGTGATGTGTATTTGAATTTGGTATATTGAAAAAGTAGAGATTTAAAATGTTAGTGAAAATAATAGTTAAAATTTAGTTTTAATAAGTAAAAATATGAAATTTTAGGTCGTAGAACTTGTATTAAATAGGTTTGGTGTAGAAATATGTGTTGGAGAGGTTTGGGATGGATTTGGTTGGCTTAGGAATGGATTGGATATGGAAAAGGGACGAAGACAAGCTGTGAACAGTGCACTACTGCAACTTCAAGCTCGATTTAGACTTTGATGCAGTCAATATCTCTCAAAACTCAAAACATGAAAGTTTTAGAGCTCCTTTGTATCATTCCATAACATCTTGAATCATCTTAATTGGAGCTTGGATGAGAGAGTTATGCTCAGATAACGAAATGATGTCGAAATAGTCCAATTAGCTTCGTTT